AGGACTTGTCCGTCAGCCAGCACCTAAACAACACATGCAGAAAAAAAGGGGAAACTATGAGGCAGTCATGATGCTAAGTTAAACTGGCGCTGATTTAAATGATCCGCTTACAACTTCCAGGCCAAGCACGGTTCCGTGTAGGGAGCCGTAGCGGAGCAGCCGCAGCCCACCGGCGTTAGTGGCCACATTACCCCCAATATGACAGCTGCCCTTTGCTCCAAGATCCAGCGGCATCATGTAGTCTCTCTCCTCCAGGTAGAGGCTCAAGTTCTCCAACACACAACCTGCCTGACAGGTTAGAATACCTGAAGGAAAGAAATATGAAAGTCGTTTTTCAGAGGACTTTATTTTAACTGGTATGTACTGTAGCTGGTTCAGGTTAGCCTTACCAGAGATGTTATCAAAGGAAAGTATGTTGTTCATGAGAGAGGTGGAGAGGATGATTTCATCATACACCGGCACGCTGCCACCAACCAGACCGGTATTACCTCCTTGAGGGTTCACAGCCAGGTTACGACTGTTACAGTAACTAAAGAGTGACAGCAAAACACAATGAAAGGATGAAACTTCGACTCCATTCAAAGGGCTTTGAAAACAAATCTCTGCTAGAAAAGCGAAAAAAGATTGGGATTTTCAAACACGCTGTTTTGAATGTTGTTTTGGTTCGTTTGCCAAAAAGTTGGCCCACACCTGTGGATACATCTGAATAGAACCCCTTCTAGGATTAGCGTTTCTTCTACATGCTTTATATGCTTTCATGGGTTGCATGACCAATAATTTTTTGTTTTGTTTTTTTATTTTTCTCAGGAGTTGCTGTGGGCCCTTTGGGTGCTTTTCTTACCAATCCTGTCCTTTTCCATTATGTCTGTGTAGGTGAACAAGTTTTTTAGGTTACCACTTGCACTATACGTTTTTAAATTTTATTGACTGATTAAGCAAACAGGAGATGTTAAAAAAAATGGGTTTTAGTCTACGTGAATCTGTTAGTATACTAATGTTTTAGTATTTATATTATGATTAAAATAGGCATAGATTAATAGGCTGATGAAGATTCCCAGTCATCCAGGTCATAGTCATTCCGTAAAAGTTCAAAAAATATCCACTGGACTTGTCCAGTGGATATTTTTTGAACTTTTATGGAACATAGATTAATAGCTTTTACAAATGAGGTAACTTCTGATGGCAGGTTGGTGGTTGCACTGGACTGTATTGGAGTTGTGCCGAGTATTATCCTCATCTATCTCATAGAATCCCAATAAAACAAATTAAAGGTTATGTCTAGAAAGGGAAAAAATATGGATAAGATAAGCCTCGATATTCACTGATGTACCTGAGAATTTTTGCCACTTCCTGTGTTGTCTGAGGTCTCAGCAACACTTCACTTGAACCTGCATGAGTAAAACAAATGGAAGAATGAGATCTAAATAAGAATAAATAAAGTAGAACATGATGCCTGCAGCTCGGGGATTCACCTCTCACAGACTTCAGCCAGTCTTCATTACTGGACTGCAACAGGTCAGGGTCAGTGATGACCCTGCCTGGTAAAATCTCCCTGAATAAGGCCAGATCCTCCTCTGTTATCCTTGAGAAAGGTAATCTGTGTGGAGCTGCAGCAGGAGATGACCTGGATCCATCTGCTCCAACATGAAGCTTATGACTGAGGCTCACACTCTGTAGACAGGGGCCCCTGGCAAGAAACTGCATCTGGCTGTGTACAGGTGGGGGTGGTGATTTGGACAGGTGTCTCAGAGCTGTCCTCAGCATTGTTGTTCTCTGGAAAACTCCAAACATGACTAGATGACAGGTCTAGAGGGTGGAAAGAAAAACAAGTGATTTTTGCTTGTTTCCCTCTCTATAACCAGTAGTCTGGGTAGGTTAGCTCTGACAAAAAACATCTCAGCTAAATATCACAGTCTTAATCAGAAATGCAGACTTTGCCTTTAAACATTTACATAAAGCATTTAACAAGCAGTTCGGCTAAGTAACACTTCTGGTCCCAAGCTTCCACTGCGCTGCATCATAAACCAGAGTGTTTAATCACTGACCTGAATGACATTATACTGTTAAGAAAATAATAATAACCAACCGTAAAGTTTTCATCTAACTAACAGCATTTCCGCTTCCGTTCTGTACTTTTTCTTCATACTACTTTGTGATAAAGTTCAAGGACGGCTAAGTAATTTCAAGATTTCAGTTTGTTTACAACTAGCCTGCTAACAAAAACCGGAAGTTGTAACTGGTGCAAAGTTACGTAGCAACCAATCAGAAGGCTGCTTGCAGATTCAGCCAATAAGCGAGGCTATTACTGTGATTCAACATCCAATGATAATGATACTTTTTTATTTTATCGCTAAATAATCCAGTAAAAAGCATATTTGAATTAACAAAGAGATTTAATATAGAAATAAATATAGAAATAAATATATTTGCAATACAAGGTTGGTTGTTAGATGAAATGTCACCTCCTTAAATATTTTTTAAAATGTTTATTGTATATCATATGTCTTTATTACACTCATCATGCTATATATGTAACATGATTATTTGCAAAAGTCTTTCTATTTATTCCCCAAGCAACCCTGTATGAAAAGTTAATTACTTTCCGAATGGCTGCTCCTCCCTCTGCAGCAACAATTGTCATTATGCATTTACTAACTAACTTATAATCAGTTGCCATAATCACTGTGAATGGATTCCAACAATGCTTACATCTCAATCTCTCCACTGTCGCTACAAGCATGCTTAGTGTGAGGGATTGTATTTGAGTCAATGCAATCAACTGATTTTCCTTAGATAGAAAACTTTGTATCAATTTGACTGTATGATCTGGTTGAACTGTGAAGTGCCTTGAGATGGCATGTGTTGTGAATTTGGTGATATGTAAATAAACTGAATTGAATTGAATTGAATTGAATTAAATTAACCAAGCCACTCCAAATTCCTGATTGGATTTTTGCCAGAAGTTGACCTGCAGGTGAATTAACATTCTGTTCCAAACCCCAACTGTACATAAGCTTTAGGTCATGATCTATTGCCTATTCTGCATTAGTATAACCAGAAAAATAAGTAGAAAAATAATAGAAAAATAGAAAAATAAGTTTCATCAGTAACAGCAATAGCTGGAGATCATGCAACCTTTAAAATGGCTGGATGTTGGGATATTTCTTCTGTTAAAGATAGGCTCTGTGTATGCACCCTGATGCTCTATCTTTCCAGCTCTTTTTCCTGAAAAGCGATCACTCGGGACAAACTCTTTAAATAACACTTCATAACTTAAATGTATTAAATAACCAGGAGACATGACGACAGATTATAATAGAAATTGTAATATTACTCAGGTCAGAGAAATTGTTTAGAGTTTACAGAAGGCATGCTGTTCACCTCTGAACTCACCTCTCAGGAAGTGGCCCTGATTAACAGTTAAAAAGGCATTTTATAAATCTCCAGTCAGCCACATCATCATATTTTCATACACATTAGCAGATGATTAGACATCCATGGCTCCAGCCTTATCACAATATTACACTTTTTTCTTAGCTGAAGGACACCACTCTCATTCCATTTCCAAATCTTTGCCATGTACAGAATGAAGATTATAACTGTATATCCAGACAGAGGAACTGTCCTAATGAGATTAAAACATCAGTTCTGACGCGCAACAGGCAGCCCATACCAGGGTGTAATAAACTCACATATCTTTAATGATAATTATCCTAACACTTCTCTGATCTGTTGTGTTAGTTTTACATCAGATATAACAAATTCCACAACTTCTGAAAATGTTTTGCCTCTTCAGTCTATAGATTGGGTTTCCAAGTGTCTTTTTTGGGGTTCTTTGTAAAAAAAAAAATTAAATATAGACTTTTATGTTCTTTTTGATCAGCATTTCTACCCAGTCCCTTTTGCTGTTGAATCAGAACATTCTCTTTAACTGAAGCTAGTGACTACTAATGCATTCAGTGTTGTTCTGGGTTGTTCAGTGACCTCCTGGATTAATCAGTGATGTACACTTGGAGGAATTTTGACAGTTGATGGTCGTTAAATTTTACCACCATTTATGAAAAATTATTTTACTGAGACTTCTTCAGAAATGTCTTTTAACCCTTTTGCAGAATTTGCTTTGCACTGGAGAAGTAATCAGAACTCGGTGTTGAAAATGAACTTAGCTTTGGATAAAAAATAAAAATAAAAAAATGCTTGAAAATGTATAATTAACGAAGGGGGTAATTACTTTTCCACCCTAACTCCTGATGGTTTTGACTCCTGCTTTTCTTAATAAATGTAATTAGAATTTGAAAGCTGTTTTGTCCAATGATCTCCAATATTCAAAGGTTTTTATGATCGGAAAATGTAAAAGTTACAAAGAAGGCGGTTTTGTTCGAAGTGCTTCATAATATAAGAAAGACATACAAGCAGTTTTAAGCTGCTTTGCATCATAGTTACTAAAAAATCCTATCCAGACTCAGTGATTGTACAACTATGAATATGTTTTTTACAAAGCAAACATTTAATTTAATTCTATTGGTTTTGTTTCTAAGCTGAAAGGATAAAAGCTATGAATGCCAAACTAAAATATATACATAAACCCATTAAAAATGGGTCTAATTCATTTTATCTACACAGTGCTGCTTCACAACACATCATCTCAACCTCAGCAGCTTAGTTGCACCTAGACTATCACCACTTCAACACCTCCATTCAGCTTCTGGCTAAAAGTTTGTCCACCCCTTGAGTAAACTCTGCTGACTGTAGATTCTGGAGCGTAAGTCACTGTCCACACTTAAACATTGTCATGAACATAGATGGAAACGATTTCTGCTTCATTTTCAAGCCCTGTAGGCTTTAAATGAAGTTACAGCTGCCCACACGAACAACCCACAAATACTCTGGAGAAAAGTTTTTTTTTTTTTTTTCTTACAGTTAGATGATAGAGTTGAGCTATTTGGCCCTTTTAACAGGTGTTTGGAAGGAGAAAAGAGAGGTTTGGAAAAAGCATGGTGGCAGTAATCATGCTAAGGGTGCTTTTTGCTGTGAGTCATACTGGTGCAATTCACAAAGTTGATGGAATAATACAGAATTACTTCCAGGTTCAACTTCACATCAACCAAGATAGATGATTAAAGGTGTTGAGATGACAATGAGTGGAATCTAACATCCAACCTGGTTTAGTATCGTAATGTTAGGGAAAATATATATATTCTATAAGCATGTCTCTCAAAGCAGTTTTAATAAATTCAGAGTCAAATCCTCAACTCTGAATTGATCAAGCCTAGTATGGAAACTTTTAGTTTTCGGTTTCACAGCAGCTGCTGTGAGTTGGTTCAATCACTCGGAGTTGAACGTGCGTAACAAGTATAAAAAAGCCATCATCAATGGAGCCCAGATTCAACCAGTCACTATGACAACAGGCAACAGGAAGTGCCTATTTCACCCATCTGGAACTAGAGGTTTTAATGCAGAAATAAAAAAAAATGGAGAATGTGTTTAAAAGAAAGAAACAAGGCTACAGCTGCAAATGAGAGGAAGATGGTGTAGAAGATTACTGCTCAAGTTAATGGGTTGGTTTATATAAAGTGGGATGTGTCAGGCCATTTTAACATTTATTCAAAATACTCTCTTCTCTATTGTTCCATTTGTAGATCACTAAAAAAGTTTCCTTCCAGATCAAAATCTCATCCCTAGTTGGAACTGTAATAGCAGATTTTCTCAATTACACTTTTGCAGCAGAAACTGAATTTCAGAAAGTAAAGAAATTATACTACTAAGAATTACGCTTTATATGTTTAGAAATGTTTACACATTTTAAGTGGCTGTTTTGACATTTATCAGCTTTACTGAAAGTCAAAATAATAAAAATGCTGACCAGTAACAATAGGAATATTGAGATCAGAAATTAATTTCTAGATATCCAGAATGTTTAATCTAGATGTAAATACTGTCATTTTGTTTAAAAATTGTCTTTTTGACAAGGATTTTTTTTTTTTCTTCTTTCAGGTATGTGGAAATACTCTACATACTCTCAGTATGTACTGTAAAAAATGATTCCCATGTTGCTCTTATTAAAAAAACAAAAAACACATAAATCTCATACTGTCAACTAAGTTCTCTCTTTGGGTATTTAATTATATGTGAACGAATGCCGTCCATTCTTTAATAAGATCCTCAGCAAATAAGTTAAAAGATCTAGCCATTTTTTTTCTTTAGTTAAGAAATTATAGAAAGTGTTTGCAAGTTAAAACAAAAAAATAGCAGGGTTTTAGAATGTATTCTAAATTATTTTATGGGGACAAGTTTAGTCTAAAATGTGTTAAATTGCATAAGCCCTTGTGTTTACAGGCCAGATTAAAAGTCAGGAATGCCAAATTCTAACTTGAGCATCCAGTTCTAGCTTTTTCCATGTATTTAAGGTTGCCTCTTTTCTAAAAAATTAGGACTAGAAATATAATTACATTAAAGGGATCATACTGAAAAAAAAAAGACTTTCAAAAATGGGATGATTGAGGTGAGGTTCAACAATTGCATCCCATTATCCACCAGGATAAAACAAGATTCAGAGAAAAGAACTTAAATCAATACAAAATTATTTATTAGAAACGTCAACATCTTCACTTTTATCATGCAGTCTGTAAACCACATATCATGCATTTTTTTTCACATTTCAGTGTTTTTGTTTTAATTCTCAGCTTACAGTATGAACGGCGCTGTACATTAGGTTCTCTGGTGGTTCTAACCCGTTGATTCGTTTTTACACTTTCAGTGAATGTGACACAGTACCTTCACCGACGTAACAGTTTTTGAGTGCAGAGAAGGTTGAGTCCTTGGTAGAGATGGAGTTTTTCATTAATCGGGTCCGAACTGATTAACATTCATCACCAAGCTTAAATAATACTGAAGGACAGAATGGAATCTTAGCTGCCATCACAGAAAACAAAAAAAAAAACAACAAAAAAACCCTTTAATAAAAATGATGTCACCTTCCTGGGTATGTACAGCATGCAGCAGTCTCAGGTTAACACCAACCAGGACATACAAGCATTACTTCACAAATAAAGTATAAAGATAAGCTGGGCGGGATCTGCTGAATGATTTCAGGTGAAGCAGCTCATCTTCACATCGGTTTGCAGTTTTTCGCTTCCATAACAGAACTGTAGCGAATCCTGGTGTCTGCATAACGCTAGTGCAGATGTCCTAGAGCTCTTCACTTTACTCTAAACCATGCTGATATTCACAGCCGGTTTCTCGAGGCTCTGAAGAGCTCAGCTTCTTGTTCTGGCTGTAATCTCTCCAGCTGGACTCTTCATTTGGCACTGATGTGATCCACAGAGAGCTGCTGCTGGTCAAAGTCCGATATGAGCTTCTTGATGTGGGCCAGCTTGTTGTGTAAATACTCACAGCGAACTTTGTCCTGATTGTAGTTGGGATTAGACTGATGAGACAAAGAAAACAAATAAAATTGATTACCTGGTTAAATCAGAGGAGAGATCAGTTAAGAAGCAGCCTTACCTTTTTAATTTTGCGGTACTCTTGAAGGATTTTATTCCGAACCGTCTGTGAGAGAAAATACAGAAAATCTGAATATGAAGCAAATATCCAAACTTAAATTAAATTCATGTTTTCTGTTAAAAGGCTCCCCCTGGTGACCTTTAGCTAATCTTACCTTGTACTTATGCGACTCCTGGTGAAGCTGCTTGAGCTGAGTGTCCAGTTCCATGAACTGCTGTGTGACGCTGTCGATGCGAGCGTGCAAATCTCTGTACTCGCTGTACTCCTTATTAAAGTCCTGTTTGTAACTCTGTCTCTGGTTCTGGCTGGAGATCACCACATATTTCCTGTACAGGGGAGGATCAAACCCTTAGAGTGGGGAAAATCCTGTCCAACATCTCCACATACTTCCTGCTGCTATTACGAATCGCTTAGAGATCATTAAAAAGCACTCTTGCACATGCCAAAGTCAAAGTTGTATGTGTGTTCCTACTCTTTTCCATTTATTTTATTTAGCCAGAATAGGTTAGGTCTGATTGTATAGAGAACAAAATCCCAATAAATGTGACGGTCATTATAGGGCTAACTGGAAGTGACCAGCTTCTGTACGGAGGCTGGAGGGGAGCAGGAAAACAAACGTAACTATAACTTCAACAGGAAGTCAGACAATCAGAACTCACGATAAATAGTCGGCTGTCACGGCGTCAGCTTGGGGTTCATTGGAGTCAAACAATCCACTGGATTCTGAAAGGAAAGAAAAGGTGTGAGTAAGTGGGAAAAAAATTAAAGCTTCAGAGCCATATATATATATATATATATATATATATATATATATATATATATAAATAAAACGGCAAAATCCTTTGTCATCTTTGCCGTCGACAGGCTGCAGCCATGTCCAGAATTCCTTGTTTTCGAGCCACTTTTGTTAAAATTTGCATTTACCTATTCTCTAGCCTTTTCTCCGCCTCGAGCTTCTTTTCTGAACACACGGCTTTAACACCACTATCTGACGAAATTGTTTTTATAAACTTTTTTTTTATATAGCATTTTAAATGCCACGATAATCATATTTAATGAATTTTAATGCCAATTAAGACCTTAATTTGAAAAATAATAATTTAAATGATGAACTTTAAATGATTTTTAATGACCCACAGAAACCCTAAGTGAAGTCATCACTGTGTTAGAGTATTAGGGCCTTTTTAGATGAAAAAAAACATTTCTGATTAAACTCAGATTTTTTAAGAGCTTCATATATTTTCTAATGATTAATGGACATTTTTTATGTTAAAAACTAAACTCTGTAGAACTAAACCCTGACGTTTCCATAGGGTTAAAAAAAAAGAAATTATAATCATGTTAAGACTAAATCTGAAAGAAAACTTACATTTCAATTTAGAGAAAAAAAATAAGAGGTTTGCTTGATTTTAAAATCCAATATTTTCCACGACACATAGTTTATTTATGAGATGTTTTTCTGGATATTTCCCAGTATAAGCTGTAGCCTACATACTGGATTCTCCTGGTTCCAGACACGCCATGAACCCAGGAGGTGTTTTATGTACCAGACCAATAGGAGCAGCGATGACTCCAAACTCCTGTTACTTATTGCAGCTTGAGGACAGCTACTCGATGCAGCCATCATGAAGGTTCTTCCTCACTGTTTTAGATGCCAACTTAGGAGAAGTCGTTCTAATACATGTAGACACATGTAGTGAATGCTGCCCGACTCCCTGCAGCGCATGCAGACGGATGCTTGTTTGGACCAACAGGAACTGGCTTCTACTGGCCAGTAAGATCCAAATACATCGGCTCACAACAGTGTAAAACTGTGCATTGGTACAAGGTATAACAATAGAGCAAACTTCTGGGTTTTTACTGAAACATTGAAAGTTTTCTTTAGTTGTTTTGCTTCTGTAAATTTCTGCCTTTACAATTCCCTCAAAAAATCTTAATTAAAATAAAAACATATTTTTGCCTTCAATTATGGTGGTTTCGAAGGTTTTTGGCATAAATTTACGACTTAATTACATCATAGATTTTAAAAAGTTTTTTTTTTTTTTTTATATATAAATAATTAATCTAAAACTTCTGAGTTTAGTGGTTGAAGTGTACTTTTTTTTTGTTCGTTCATCTACAGGATCTGCATAGCTCTTACCTTTGCACTCCGAAGGATCTTTACATGAATAATCCGAACTGCAACTTTTCTCTTTTCTTCTTTCCTTTCCGTCTCTCCATCCATCTTTCTCCTAAGAGAAAAACCCAAATATAACAAGATAACCATTAATATATATTCCATAAAATGACCATCAATCATCAACCATGTAGACGATCTCTCACCTGATCTTTGTGTTTGCTCTTCTTCTTCCTGACTGCGTGTCTGCTCAGATCGGGCACCATCAGGGGCGGCGGGGGCCCATCAGATTTGGGTTTCTGTTGCTCATTTGGCTCTTTAGGTTCCTCTTGAGGAGAATCCTTTGGCTCCAGCCTTTTAGCCACTTCTGCTTCCTGTTGACAAACTGCTGACAGCGACTCAAAGAGTCTTTTAGGGTCAAGCGAGTTATTTTGCTCCTCTTCTGCTTTGGCTCCTGCGTCTGTCCGGGTCGCTTGTTTCGACGACCTCCGTCTTGAATTCTCGCTGGCTGATTTTCTTGATAGGAGGGATATCCTGGGCTTCTTACTAGCCAGAGGCTCAGCGGATTCATCTAGAAGGGAGTGTTTCGGGCGGTGTGCTGGGGAAGAGTTGGGGGTCTCTCGAAGGGGGCTGACCTGCGCCTCGGGGACAGTGAGGAGGTTCTGCTGTGGTTGAAAAAGTCTCCTGCAATAAACGTTATATGACTGATTAAAATAATTGTCATCTAAATAAAACCGCAACGAAAACCAAAGGATTTATCTTTCTCACCTGACGAGGATGCGCTTCAGAAGCTGCTGGTCCCCTGAGGTGTATCCTGGCCAGTCCTTCTGCAGCTCCTTATAAAGGCCGTCCTTCAGAACAAATGTGCTGTCTCTGTTACTGAGCTGTCCCACCTGCACATAAACCGAAACCTCCCGTCATCCAAACATCTCCTCCTACCTAACCTGTCTGATCATTCCTTTTTATTACAAAAGTTCCCAAAACAAAGTCTTCCACGTTAAAGCGACTTTCATCACCTCCATGATGACCGAGTCCAGCAGATCTTTGTCTCCTTCTGGAAGCCCGTCTTTCTGCAGCCTCAGGATCAACTCAGGCCTCTTGTACGGCCTCAGAGCCAGCAGGTGCATAACTCTCTCCCTGAGGGGCCGATCCTGGATGTCACTTTTTCTGCTCACAGGACAGGGACCCTTCCTGGGCCTGGACGTGCTGACCCCCCTTTTAATGTTGAGGAGGGAGTGGGATGAGTATTTAGGCTTGGTCAGTTTGGCCAGTGCAGGAGCTGGGGCTCGCACAGTCACCTTCTTACCTGGGAGAGACAATAAAAAACAAAAAAACAAATCAGATTTATGGCTGCAGCTGAGAAGAGGATCTTATCCACAGGGAATTAAGTCCTGAACAGACATGGACTCAATGTCCACTGAGACTAGAGGAAGTCATTACTCCAAAAGCAGCATAAAAAGCCAGACTGTGGTTTGCAAATGCACAAAGGCTGACATCTCTGACTTGTAGGGACACGTCTCGCAGTCTGAAAAGTGAAAGGTTTGGCTTTAATGACTGTTGCTCCAAACCTTTTCCCAACTGGAAAGTGCAGGTTGGAAGTTTTATGTAGGGTTGCAACTAAAGATTATTTTGCAAATCGATTAATCTGTTGATAATATTTTCGATTAATCGCCTAATAATCGGATAGCCAAAGGCTCTGTTCAGATTTTTTTTTTACAAAATTAAACCAGGTGAAAGTAAAACTTCTGGATAGAGGATATTGACAGAAGATTTTTTTTCTATCTTAAATGCAAAATATTTATATATT